CCAAAACCATATCCTTGAAGGAAAGCACAAACTCCAACAAGCTGTCCACGCACCTCCACACAATGCCCAGTTCACACTAAATAAGCAAATAAATAAATGTAAACGCATTAAAGAAACGCTACCTAAAGAAAGCCACCTGATTAATGATCAACAATGAGGTGTTTTCTTCTGTTTACTTAAGTACTTAAAGAAAACTGCACTTAAGACAGGGTCTCTCAGCCTGGCACACCTGTAACCCCAGCGCCAAGGGAGGCAGAGGCAGGCAGATCACTGTGAGTTGGAGGCCAGTCTGGTCTACAAAGTGAGTTCCAGGACACCTAGTACTACACAGAAAAACTTAACGTGTTCAATTATATATATATATAAAAAAAAAATCACTGTCTTTATTTATATGTATAATCACCAATTAAGCTTCAGAAACCCTCAACTTTCTTGAACAGGGGAAGTAAAGCCTCACTGTAGTCCAAGTGGGTCCTGTACATACAATTCTCCTGCTTTAGCCTCAGAGGTTTGATCCCTGGGACCTACACGATAGAGGACATAACCAACGCTAGCAGGTTTTTCTGCTATCAATTTAATTTTAAAAATTAAAAATAGGGTTAATGCACACCTTTTATACCATACCAGCACTTGGGGAGACAGAGGCAGGAGGACCTCTGTGAGTTTGAGGCCAGCCTGGTCTACAGAGCAAGTTCCATGACAGTCAAGGCTACACAGAGAAGCCCTCTCTCAAAAAAAAAAAAAAAAAAAAAAAAAAAACAAATAAATTTAAAAATAAAAAATAAAAGGGTTAAAGACAAAGTGACTTCTGTCAAAGTAATGCACATGGTAAACACTGATGACCCCTAACTAATGTACCTTACTAAGTACTGGTTATTAGGTACTGCTTATTAAGTACTGTTTTCTCAAACTCAAACTGAAAAGTAAGACCAGCCAGGTGTGGTAGTGAATGCCTTTGGTCCTCAAATGCTCAAGGCAGAGGCAAAAGGATCTGAGTGTGAGGCCAGCCTGGTTTACAGGGTTCTAAGTCAGCCAAGGTTACATACCGAGACCCTGCCACCCCACTACCACCACCCCCCAAAAAAAAAGGGGGGGAAGGGGCTAGAGAGAAAGCTCAGAGGTTAAGAGCGCTATCTCCTCTTCCAAGGACCCAAGTTCAAGCCCCAGGACCCACACAGCAGCTTACAACTATGTAAAACTCCAGTTCCAGGACATGTATGTCTGTGATGCACAGACATCACAGACATCACAGACATACATGCAGGCAAGACACACATATAAAGAAAAAAAGGAAACAAAAACACACATAAAACATCATGATGAAGAACAAAGTTTTAAATATTAAAAAGAAGTTTAAAAGTAAACTTCAGAAAGTTTAATAGTCATATACTTTAATACTCTACTACTTTTAAAAATAAATGCAAATTAAGACTTTTTTTCACAATGAGACAAGCATGATAGTTATCTGCTATGTAGCTGGGGGGGTTGGGGTAACCCTTTAATCCCAGCTCTGGGGAGGCAGAGGCAGGTGGATCTCTGAGTTCAAGGTCCACCAAGAGTTCCAGGACAGCCAGGGCTACACAGAAAAAAAAAAAAAGGACAGTGGGGGCAGAAAAAAAGTTTTTAGATTTATGTATTTCATTTGTATGAACGCTTTGCCTGCATGACATGTGTGCGCCACATTCCTGCCTTGTGGAGCTCAAGGAGAAGGCACTGAACCCCCTGGCGCTGGAGATATGGATGACTGTGAGGCACCAGTGTGGGTAGTAACAGCTGAGCTCGGGTCCTTTGCAAGAATAAGTGCCCTTAACTCCTTAGCCATACCTTCTGCCCCTAGGAAGAGCTATGTATCAATGAAAACGAAATGCTTTGTTTTATCATCAAATCTAAAAGAAAACAGAAACAGCCACCACATTTATTCAGATCCCCAAATACTAACAATTAGAACTGAGAAAACAGATGAAGCATTAATCTGTGAAAATTAGGACAGAATATGTAATACTTGACAAATTAGAGTTTACAACGCTATGATGTCTAAAAAGTATCAAAATCTACCTCCAGTTCAACACAGAAAAAAAATTTTTTACATAATCGTATTTCTAAGTCTCGAGTCAGAAAACAATTACATGAGGCAACAACACAAAGGTCAGGGATCGCTGGTAAAGAGCAAATGCTTGGCTTCAAAAGACTTTCTGAGACCCAGGTGGATAGTCCAGGTAATCTCCACCCAGAAAACAAACAACCAAAAAAAGGGGGGGGGCAGGAATCTAGAAAACACCAGACAATGCCAAAGATATGCCTCAAAAGCACTCACCTCGGTCCGATCTCTTCTCCCTCATTTCATCAGCCCAAATAACTCAATCCTCACATTCCAAGCTCGCCCTCAACTCCCCAGCACTCTACCTTCTTTACTAAACCTGGGTCCTCTCCCCGACCTTCTCCACCGAGGTCTACAGAGCCGGTCTTCTAAGAGAGCTTTAGTCCCCTAATCCGAACTCGTGTGCACGCATCTCGTCTGCTCTCCGCCCCTTCAACTCTGGTCCCGTCACTCTGACCCTTCGCCCAGAACCGCCCCAAGTGGCCATCCGCCGTCCAGCTTTCTCCCTCCCGCCTTCCATTCAGCCCTTTCCTCCCTCAGGAGGGGAGCCGAGGTGCCGGGTACCCAGCCTCCCTCCTCCCGGGACGCCCCGCACCGGCACCTTCCCCCAACTCCGCCCCTCTCCCCCTCCCCCAGAGACAGGCCCCCTCACCTGAAGGCCGCTGCCGTCCCGAAAGCTGAAAGGTGCTGGCGCCACCCGGCCTCCCGGGCTCAGTCCCTGCTGAGCTCCCGCTGTCCCTAGGGAAAGAGAACACCACCTCTTCCCACTCTACCCACCCCGGGCCGGACTGTCACCGCAGCCACTGCCGGTACCACAGCCGCCATGTTGAAGGCCTACTTCCCTCCTCCTTTCCTTCGTCGCTCCGCCCCTTTGGCGTCTGACGTCGTGACGCTGCGCCCCACCCGCGCGGACCAATGGGAGGAGCCGACAGTGACGTAACTAAATCCCGCCTCCAGAGCTGAAGGACACCTGGAACCTGGATCTTTGATACTGAAATCGCAGCTCGGCTGAGTAGGAGTGAGAGGAGGAAGGAGGGATTACCGAGAGGGTAAGAATCGGAGTTAAGGACGCGGCCCGGGGCCCGAGCGAGAACCCGAGAGGCTTGGATCGCTAGGGCACACCTTAGCGGTGAATTCTCCTTGGCAATTAGAAAACCTCTAAGACTTGGGGATCAGTCTCACCCTCTTTAGGTCTCCTTTTCTCCATTTGTTTGGGGGGTTTGTTGTTTTCAAACTGGGTTCCGTATATCCGAGATCCAAATTTATAAATAAATTGGTTAAACAGAAATTCTAAATGTCTCTTCAATTTTCATTGCTTCAGTTAACATCCAGTACATTCAAACCAGAAGTTCAATCGAAGCCATCACTGCTTTCTGTGTGTTGGATATCTGCTGGAAAAAGGCTCATGGAGAATTTACAATTTGATTAAGTGAATCTTTTTTTAATAATTTATTTGTTTGTATTTTATGTACTTGGTATTTTGCCTGCATGTTTAGGAACTTCTAACTCTGGATGCTACATTCCAGAAATGGGGGTCAAAGTGAACAAAGAACAGCAAGTTGTCAATTTTGGGTTATTTGTGTATTTGGCAAATAGGTTTGTGGAAAGACCGGAGCAGAGCTCCTCTCGAAAATGAAAGTGGCAGTAGTTAATGGATGGCTCACACAGTAGACTTCTACACAGAGGAAAACACTAAACTAAAGTGAATGTATTAGATGATGGAGGCAGAGTGAACTTGGGCAACTTTAGGAGAATGGCTTCACTAAAGTTCTGCAATGTAGAAAGGAAATGGTCACCTTTCCAGCTCCCTGTCTTTCTCTCTTGATTGAAACAGGGTCTTGTGTAGTCTAGGCTGGCCTCAAACTTGCAATATTTAGTACTGACTGTCCACGAATTCACAGACATCTGCCAAACTCTGACTCCAGAGTACTGGGATCAAAGGGTTGCACAACCATACCTGGTTTAATCTAGGCTCTTAGAGATCTCTTGTTAACAAAAATAAGAGTTGCCTGGAGCACAAGAGACTGGCAAATGTCTATACTCCCAGCATTTGAGAGGTTAAGGCATCCTCATTCCATTATTCTCAGCTACATCAGACGTCAAGGCCAGCCTAAGCTTCATGAAACTCTACCCTTGCCAATAAATAAATAAAATAAGCTGATAGTACAGCTCAGTGATAGAGCCTATATTTGGCCAAAGGACATAATAAATTCAGCTGGTTAAACTTTTTAAATGCTAACATAAAAATAATTAATTAAAACAACTTTCTAAACAGATGTGGAGAGAATATTAGCTTGGGAATCAAACAAAGTAAGCTACACACATGTAATATATTTTTTATCTTAAACAAATAGGTTTAGTCCACTTGCCAAATGCAGCACATTTTGTAAACCAAACACACTTAGTATCGGCACACAGATTATACGTGTATGCAAATGCACTCCGAAAGGTGAGTGAGGCAAGAGAACCAAGCCAGTATCTTTAATCCCAGCACTTGAGAGACAGAGGCAGGCAGATCTCTGTGAGGTTGATGGCAGCCTAATCAACATAGTAAGTTCAAAGCCAGCCAGGACCACAAACAGAAAAAATAAATAAATAAAGTTGAAACAGGAAGATTGTGAATTTCAGGCCAGCCTGCCTGGACTGTATAGTGAAACCCTGTCCTTACAAAGAATCAACCAAGAGCTGGCGAGATGGCTCCATGGTTAGGAGAGTCTACTACTCTTGCAGGTTCCATTCCCAGGACACAGGATGGGTGGCTCACAACCACCTGTCATGCAGCACCAGGGAGATATAACAACTCTGGCCTCTACAAGCACCTGCACTCACATGTTCACACACAGACATATACATAATTAAAAACTAATAATAATAATAAATCTTTTTTAAAAAAACAAGCAATGCCAGCTTTGGCAGGACATATACTGAAACTGGAATGATACAAAGATTAGCATGGTCCTTGTGCAAGGATGTCAGAGAAATGCATGAAGCATTAATTCCAATAATTTTTCATCAATACAAATACTATTCAGGGGATGGAGAAATGATTGAAGATTAAAAAGACTTGCTTGGGGCTGGAGAGATAGCTCAGTGGTTAAAAGCGCTGAGTGCTCTTGCAGAGGACCCAAGTTTCAATCTCCAGCACCCACATGGCAGCTCACAACTGTCTGTAGCTCCTGTTCCAGGGGATCCAACACCTTCACACAGATATATATGCAGTCAAAACACCAATGTACATAAAATAAACGTTAAAAAAGAAGAAGACTTGCTTGCTGCTCTTTCAGAGGAGCCAAGTTTGGTTGCTAGCATCCACATCCACCTATAACTCCAGTTCCAGGGAGTTCAACACCCTCTTCCTGTCTCCATGGCACCTACACATGCATGTTGCACACACATACAGACATACCTACAAATAAAAGTAAATGTTTAAAATTTAATTGATAAAAAAAACAAACAAAAACCCATAATGTATAATAATGTACATCCTTTCTGCTGAAATTTTCTTTGTTCCTGTAATCTTGTTCTTATTACAGGGGAAAAAAATCTTCATACTCAAATGCAAAGTTAAAGGATTTTGTACATATATGTACAATATATATGTATATATATGAAACAGTTTCACTATGTATTTCATGATACATAGTGGCCTTTAACTCACTTAGGAAGCCTAGACTGGCTTTGAACTCTCTAATACTGATGTTACAAGTGTGTACTTCCATACCCAGCCAACAATCCATGCTGATGATTAAGTTTGGAACTTTACAGGCTGACTTTGGAGCCTTTGATGGGTGCCATACTCTCCCAAAATGGACGCAATGAATGGGAAATTATATTAACTAAAATTTTGAGTCAGGCATGATGGTACATATAATCCTAATATTCAAGAACAAATGTAAGGCTAGCCTAGACTATATAGTGAGTTGAAGGTGCACACATTTGGTGTGCGTGCGTGCGTGCGTGCCTGGGGGTGGTGCATGTGAAGGTCCAAACTTCAGGTTTGTGTCTTCATCGATAGCTTTCCACTTTGTACACTAAGGAAAGCTCTCTCACTGAATTCAGTACTCACTGATTGTAGCTAGTTATCCAGCTTGCCCAGGAATGTACTTGTGCTGGAAATTACAGGTAGGTGCCATTCTTCCCTGACTTTTATGGCTTTTTTGTGGGTTCTGGAGATCTTCATGTTTGTACATCAAGGGTTTTAGCCACCTCTTCAATCCCTTGGAAGTATCTTAATAGAGTTATGGTGATAAGAGTGGGAGTTATCAATGCTAGAGGGCTAAATGATAGATTATAGAGACAGTGGGTTTGTCTGTCCTTCTGAACATTTCAGATGCCTCATGGATAAAAGGACAGATGAAGGGGTGAAGTAGGGAAAGTGAGAGCTGGTGTCTCTTGCGCTAGAGGTGTCCCTTGCTGCTGAGAGCCTGAAAGTGTACTTCTGTTAGGTAAACTGGGGTAGAAACAGGACAAAGACAGGGTTCCTATTCAATATGTCTGGCCCTGTGTGAATCATCACTGAAATTCACACCTGGAAACTGACAAATATGAATTACTTCCAGAAAAGTAAAGAAAAAAAAAAAAAAGTACTTGTTTTTCTAGAGAAAAACAAATGTTTCTAGTTCCTCCTACGCCCCTGCATCTTTTTTTTTCCCCCAACATGTTCTCATCTGCCCAGGCTGGCTTCAGATTATGTACCTGAAGATGGCCTTGATATCATCCGTTCCCTCCTAAGTATTGGGTTATTGGTGTCTTACAATAAAGACACTTTAACATACCAAAATAATAAGTGTGTAAATTTTTAAAAACTAAAATAATAAAGAGAGAGTAAATGAGAATTGTGTTTGAGTCTTGAAATTGGAAGAACTTCGTGCGTATTAGTCAAGGTTCTCCAGAGACACAGAACTTACAGGAACTTAAATACTTACACAGATAGTGGAAAGGGCCTTCACTAGGGAAACCAGTTTGTAACATTGTTATGGCAGCTGAGAAGTGTTGCTACAAGCCAGCTACAGGCTAGTGATCCTGCAATGCCAGTCGTGTGGCCCTGTCCAAATCCAAAGACCTCAGCATTAGGAAAGGGATTCTCAATATAAGGCAGAGAGCCCTAGGACCTAAGGAAGGGGCCCAGCTGTTGAATTTTCTGTTATTATTATTGGTAAGGTGGGTGTGCAATGGCATGAATGTGGGTGTGAGAGGACAACTTTGTGGAGCTGGTTCTCCCCTTCCTCCTTTATATGGGTTCCAGGGATCCCCGGCCCCAAATAAAGCAGGATGTGGTGGGCTCTTCCCAACACTCATCAAGAGAAAAGACAAACAGATGGCCAAGTTACTCCTTAATCTAGACCACTCATGCTTAAAATTAACCATCATAGGCTAGGGATATAATTCAGTGGTAGAGTGCCAGCCTCATGTGTTCAACAAGGTCCGAGGCTTTGCACTAGGAAAGAAAGAAAGAAAGAAAGAAAGAAAGAAAGAAAGAAAGAAAGAAAGAAAGAAAGAAAGAAAGAAAGAAAGAGAAAGAAAGAAAGAAAAGAAAGAGAGAGGGAGGGGAAGGAAGGAAGGAAGGAAGGAAGGAAGGAAGGAAGGAAGGAAGGAAGGAAGGAAGGAAGGAAGGAAGGACATTGTTTAATCATGATACTGAATTCAGAAGCCAAACTTTACATTGCTATAATACCCAATACACAAAGTGAAAAGATAGCTTGAAGGAAGTGTGGTCTGTTGGCATATGCTTGTTATCTTAGCACTTAGAAAGCTAAGGTAGGAGGAAGCCATGAGCTTAAAGCCAACCTGAATGTCACAGGGATTTTGAGGCCTGCTAAGCTACCATGTGAGACCTAATCTCAAATGAATAAATGTGTGTGTGTAAATGGAAGTTAATATGTGAAAACATAATTACAATAAAAAGAAATAATCACATGGTTTCTAGGAAAATGTCAGATATTATGTATACAGTATTCTGTCTACCAGAGCAGGGCACCAAATTTCATTATAGATGGTTGGGAGCCACCGTGTGGTGCTGGGAATTGAACTCAGGACCTCTGGAAGAGCAGCCAGTGCTCTTAACCTCTAAGCCATCTGTCTAGTCCTTCAGCACTTTCTTTTCTGTTTTTTGTTTGTTTGTTTGTTTTACTTTTTAAATTTATTTTTTATAAATTTATTCACTTTACATCTTGATTGTAGCCCCCTCCCTCATCTCCTCCCTGTCCCACACTCCCTCACTCTTCTCCCCTTGTGTTTGTTTGTTTTTAAGACAAGGTTTTAGAAACTCACTCTGTAGACCAGGCTAAACTTGAGCTCACAGAGATTCACCTGCCTCTGTCCTGGGGTTAAAGGTGTGTGCCACCACTGTATGACTTCCTCAGGCACTTTCATGCAAAGTACAATGCACACATCCTAATATGGATGCCTTCCTTGGAGAAGAGGAACCTGGCATCTCTGAGGGGCACATGGAAGCATTTTGGGAAGACTTGGGTGGCAAGAATACCTGAAAGCTCCCTCTTCAAGCCCAGGATGTCAGGAGACCTCAATGATTTCATTTGTTTCTGGTGTCCACCAGAACATTTGTATCTATGACAAGGGGTTGACAAAGAAAAAAACAAAAACAAAAACAAAAACAAAAAACCTCAGAAATGTAGAAAGGCTCTTTTGGAAGGAAAAACTGACAGATGGTGTTTACAGCTTTGCTCCTATCAGAGTTGGGTGCCAGATGTTTCCTTATGGTTTCCAAGATGGTGTTATAAGATCTAAAAGGCTTCCCTGACAAAAGACAGTGAAATATACAACTTGTCCAAAGATACAGCAAATACATTAATCCTGTGCTAGGACAACAGAGTTCACTTTGCTGCTGTGTGAGCCCAAACTTTAAAATTAGCATTCTAGTCTTAGCATCCTCCCCTCTCCCTCCTTCCCTATCTTTTCTTTTCCCTCTTTTCCTCCCTCTCTCCCTGCCCCCTTCCTCTCTTCTCTTATTGTTTATTTTTTGGACATCCTTGGCAAGTGATACATGCCTTTTGTCCCAGCACTCAGGAGGCAAAGGCAAGTGCATCTCAGTGAATTTGAGGCCAGCCTGGTCTACAGAGATCCAGGACAGTCAGTGCTACACAGAGAAACCCTGTATGGGGGGGGGGGGGGGGAGAGAGAGAGAGAGAAAGGCTTCATAGGGCTTGGTGGCCCATGCCTTCACCTTTAGTCCCAGCAGTTAGGTGGCAAAGGCTAGTAAGTCTGTGAATTCAAGGTCAGCTTGTTCTAGCTAGTGTTTTCCAGGTCAGCCAAAGCAACATAGTGAAATTCTGTCTCAAAGCAAGCAAGCAAACAAACATAAAACCAAACCAACAAAAAAATCATGTACACCAAAACTTAGAAAGTTAGAATGAGCCGGGTAGTGGTGGTGCGTGCCTTTAGTCCCAGCTCTGGGGGAGGCAGAGGCAGGTGGGGCTCTGTGAGTTCAAGGCCAGCCTGGTCCACAACGCGAATCCACTACACCCAGGGCTGTGTTACACAAAGAAACCATGTCTTGAAAAAGTAAAGAAAGAAAGTTAGAATGGATATACTGTAGAAAACTCACGAAGTGTCCCATTTCTTATCAAGAGACACCTTAGGGATCTGCAGAAATGGCTCAGGGTTAAGAACACTGATTGTTCTCTCAGAGGACCCATGTTCTCTAGTTATCCATTCTAACTTTAAAAGATTTGGTATATGTGTACCTGTTATGTTTGTTGATTTGGTTTTTTGTTTATTTGCTTGCTTATTTTGAGACAGGATTTCAATTCCCAATAGCACACACAGGGAGGCTAACAACCATGTTGAACTTGAGATGCTCTCCTCTGGTCTTCTTGGGTACCAGGAATGCAAATAGTACCCAGACATTCATGCACGCAAAATCTCTATCACATAAAATACAAGAAAATAATTTTTAACAATTAACCTTAGGAGTGTCCTGATGAAAATGGCATTAACGCCAGGTGCAGTGACACACGCCTGTGATTCCAGAACTCAGGGAAGCAGCGGCAG